AATCGCCCCTCTGATCAAAATTGCGTCAGCAATTATTGGGTGAAATCGTTCCATTTTGAATTGAGGTGGGCTTAAAGTGGTAAATTCAATAAACTCATTGCCATTCTGTTTTATCCGTTGGGGCATACTAATTCTCAAAAAAAAGCCTGCATTTTATGATGTTAGGGTCCCCCGCCCTATAAAACTGGGCACCCAGGCTAAATTCGTTTCTTCATAAGTGTAGAAGACTTCCTGAAAGTTGCATACTTGTATCCAGAAATGCATAATTGTAATGGTATTTCTTGCTAATCCGTCCCATTAGTAAAGAATTCCCGAATTCTGCTTGCTCATGCAACCTTCCTAGCGTAAGTATAGAAATAACAGCACTACCATGTTTCCAAGAGAATCAAGAGTAGAATGCCAGTTCGTGCACACCTACATGTCGCAGTTGCAGTGTTAATTTCAAGAAGAAGATATTGGTTAATTGAGAAAAATTGTTTTTTAAAAACTACTGATTCCTGACCTATCCATCGAATATGGTAATCGTAACTGTGTTTGCTGTGTTCTTACGTGAAATGCTGTGATCAGGATTTTTTTTACGACTCTCTCTTCCCAAGTAGCATTTTTCAATGTGAAAGTTGCAAAAGTTGAAACAATGTTGGTATTAGTTGCAACGAAGTTGCAACTTTCGGTCGATAAGTGCCGATTTTCGGCGATCTGATCAAAAGACAAAGTTGCAACCTGCCCTACTAGCCAAAATATTATTTTTAATACTTATCGGAATAGCAATTTAATATGTATCCAAATAGCTATAAAATAGGGTATAAAATAGCTGAAAATAGATATAAAATATCCTATCGAAATACCCTATATAGTGTCCTTTTTTTCAACTATAAATACCGTATTTTATAGCTTTCTCTATAGCTATCTGAATAGCTATTTAATAGGTATATGTAAACCTATTAAAAAGGTATTTTACTTTTGAAAGAGAACCAAAATTGAGACCTTGAAAATCATAAGGTGGTAAGTGCATTGATACGTTGCCAAGATTGTGCGACTGTATACAATAAATGCAGCAAATCAAAACCATGTAGAGGCGAAACTTTTTTAGCAAAAATTCCCTGGGCTATGCTGATTTTTTTTTTGCATTGAAGTTTGCAATTCTATATAATTTTGGTTTGCAAAAAATAAAGTTGCTCTATCATAGCAACGTTGCAATGCACTTATCATCTCATGGTTCTCAAGGCTGCAACTAAGAATAGTAAGAAAATTCACTACATGTTTGAGAAAATACACAATAGTTCTTGGGTTTCTTAAATTTGAAGGTTGAATGATGCAATTTATTCCACCCATTTAGTGCTTTAAATGATTCACTTTCCCATAAAGTACATGACTTCCCTTAATTTAAAGTCCAAATAAAGTCTTAAAGTCAATAAAGACTTTTTGTGAAAATATTGTCCGCAATATTCTTATATGATGTAAAGGTGCCGGATTTTGTACGGATATTTTCGGAAGATTAGATGCTAACTGGGAACTGGGTATGTAACCCTTGCAACAGGATGAGTGGCTTGAAAGAAGAAAAAAACGTATTAAATAGCTATAAAATACATATTCCCAAACGGAAATTTCAAACCAAGATAAATGCGCATGGAATATCTATGAAATAGCTATCGGCCTATCCGGCCGATACCCATTCGATAATCCTATTTTGGCTACTAGGGTGCTGAGCTTGCAAAATTGCTGCACCAAAGTTGTTCAAAATCTAAAGATAGGCAACCAGCAATACTTTAAAGTTGAAATATGTTTCAACTTAATTGCAACTAGTTCCAACAATGATAGTTCCTTCGGGACAGAGAGTAAACAAACTGCACATCAATCTATTAGTTGCAAGAATCAAACGGTTTCGTTGCAAGTTGTTGCAACCTCTGCTACTTGGGTTATATATCTTCAGCTATGGTCTATCGGCCATCTAATGTACTTTGCCATTTAGCTTTTGATACATGGATATATAAATGGCTCTTGGTTTGCTTCGTGTTACAGAACTATAAGATGATTCTTGAAAGCTGTTGGGTCTAAGAGCAACTTCAGTGGAAAATGAAATTTTTTCGATTATATTGGAAAATTCCATGGAGTTCGATTGCATTTCTCATATGCTTGACCAAAAATCTCTCTGGTTCCTCTAATTATAATCGTAAGTTACCTTGATTTTTACCATTTATTTTTCCATTTTCTACATCGAGGTTAGATATTACAAATCCTAGGGTCTTTAAAGCAATTGAGAATTTCCACAACAATTTTTATTGTTTCATTTGAGAGTGCTTAAAGAGCTCCATTAGCAGTGTTATTCAAAAGAAATTTTTGAAATGGGAAATGTAAGAAAAATAGATTTGAAAGTGAGAATACGTGCTGCCTTGTGACGTCATCGGTTAGTTTGATATGTATCTCCCTTTTAAACACATACATTTCAACAGATTAGGTCATTTTGTCATGATTCCTCCAATAATTGTGCAATTTAGAAACCAAGTTATCCTCGCGCTCAATTCTCTTGGTAGTTTCATTTTAAAATATCGGTACAATATCGACATCTCGTTTTAATTTGATTTTTCGGCATTTTTTAATGTTATGACTTTAAAAATGGCAACGCCGATTCTCCGTGGTTTTCGCTTAAAAGCCAGATGTAGGCCCAAAATGGCCGACACAATCATCCCACGAAGTTTCGTACAATCCCCGCCAGGTCACTTTTTGGCCGTTTTGCATAGCCCTCTTTGGCATCGGCTTGCCGCCAGAAATATAATGACCATCTTTTCTTAAAGAGAGAAGGTGGAAAAGTGTCTGTGCCGGGCGCTACAAATCGCACACGTGCATTACAGAGTGAGCGAAAAGTCCCCGACCCCTTCCCCCTCCTCTAACTTTTGAACACATGCACGTATCAAAAAGAAATTTTGAGGATGCTCCCTGGCCAATGATGTACTTTTTGGCACAACTGAAATTTTAAAGCCCCCGATTTGATTTTAATAAGTTCATACATTTTAAGATTTAGTTAAATGTTACAATAATATTAATTTGTCAGATTAAAGTTAGAACATAAAAATTCTAATCTTTAGAACTATAAAAGACCGCCCCCCTTGCGGACAGTGCACACTATCCTACAATTTTCAAATGGTATAACTCCCCGTTTCTAATACGTCGTTGGAACTTTAATAAAAGAAGACAATTTGTGGCACTCACCGGAGGTCGCTACAATATTTTTTGTCCTTTATAGTTATCTTCGGTGAAGCATCGAAATAAATTTATCTCCAAAAAATCATACGCCATTCGGGAATTTGTAAAAAGGCAAACCAGGCATTGGAAGTAATATTGGGAAAAAATCACCAAGAACCTGATCGTTTACGCGTAGAGTGATTTTTTTAGCCCTCCCCCCCCCCCCCCCCCACGATTAACTGTCTAGCGAGGTGGAAGTTTTCTTAAAGTGAAGCAGTTATCTGCAGAAAGGTGCTTACTTCCGCCTTGAGTGAACTGGACCGCCCCCTCCACGAGATGGACAATCAATCGTGTAGTAGGCGTAGTGGCGAGGCGGGGCAGGGCTGGGCTAAAATCATTCTACCAGGCGTGAACAATAAGGTTTTTGACGACTTTTTCCTAGTAGTACTTACAATGCTCCTCCTAGCTCCTGAAAGAGGTTGTTCCATCTACCATTGAAACTGGGCCCCGAATGAAATCTCTTCATCTTTTCAGGTATCAAAGGGCATGGTCAGGGACACCCAAAAATGGTTGAATTTTTTCCAAATTCCCCCAAGAGGAGGGGGGGCGGGGGGTTATATGAAAAACGGTTTTTTGGCTATAACTTTTGAACGGTTTGAGATATTGATTTGAACTTTTTTTTAAATGAAAGGTCGTTTAAAGAGCTTTCTTTTGGTATATTATGTTTAATAGTTAGGTCAATTTTTGACCAATTTATGGCCTGTCAAAAATTTTCCATGAGTCCAAAAATCAGATTTCTGTAGTTTAGAGCAGCGACGATCGCATGCAGATGAACAAAAAACTGTTCAACTTATAGCCCTCTCTCTGACGGTTAAAATGAGCCCAAGATCATCTTGGGGAAAC